ATAAATTTTTGTGATTATTAAATCTATTTTTCTACAATGGAGGAGAAGCTTGAGAGACCAGAAGAGACTCAAACCAAATCCCACTCGCTGAAAGTATCAAATATTCCTACTCGCTGTTACAAAGCAAAACTGTTAATTACCACTTTAAGTAATTTCTCAAATAGTTGTTTTCACTATTAAATTAGCGAAAAACAATGGATTTTTTAATAGTAAGTGCCTAACAAGAAATGTAGTATGATTAGGAGGAAATAATGGAAAGATCATATCTATAGTGGATATGGTTTTTTTAAAAATCTAATAAGATTTTGGATTTAAGTTTTATTTAAAGATAAAAAGAAAATTTTCTTCTAGTACAGGGGACCATAATGGTGGAGACAAATGCCATTTGAAGGGTTAGTGATGTGTCTCCTTGAAGCAGACTCTTCCTTCTGTTTCTTTCGTTTTGGTGAATCACTCTTTGTATAAGTTTTACAGTCATTCAAAAATATTGTATCATTTCTTGTTATTAACAAATTATATGATGGGGTTTTTATCTAAAAATTGTTTTGAATGTAATAAAAGTGGTGCAATAGATTTAGGACGTGTGACTATTAGAAGAAAATATATATTATTAAGATTATAAATGTGAAAAAAATAAGAGCCACAAGAGGAAATTTGTTTTTCTAAAAAAAAAAAGACAAAAAGGTTGGTGGGCCAAATGTCACTAGCCATTTAAAAAACTGGTGGTCGAGAAGTATTTGAAAGCAACTCTCAAAACTCTGTTTGTGGCCATCGTTTAAAGTTCTTTTTTATTGTCATTACCCATTTTTGGAATTATGAATTTAACTAAGATCTTAATAAGTTATGTTAGATTTTCTTTCCATATATTATGTTTTTTTTGTTCACAATGAGTCTCCATAGTATGAAGAAACCTGTATTTTTATATTGCTGATTCTTTATTATATCTTTATTTTTTGTATTGCGTATAGATTATGAACGCATCTGTTAATTTTTTTTCAGACAAGAGACGCACATTTTTTACAAAAAAATATTTGAGGTGATGTGGTGAAGAACTCCAAAGAGAACGTGGGGAAAAAATAAATATCAAAGAGCACAAAAACTACAAATGTTACCCAAGAGGCCAGTATATATGTTCTTAAAAGCATAATGCCCACCTAATCATATCATTTCATTTTGTAGATACG